CACACACACACACCCGACTAAGGATATAACCCCCATACCCTGCTAATCTAATTTCCTAATAGAAATACTCAACGTTTTACCCAAGCCTATGCTTCCACGCTCAGTTGCCGTTAGACTTGCAAATATCAAGTTATTCTTTGACCCACATATTATCAACAGTCTTGTCTGGCACTGTACGAGTCTACCAACCTGGTGAATAATGTGAGTCACGACAAAGTGGAATTAGGCGCTCGTCAATTTATTGGCTTGTGAAGTTATTGGTATCGCCTTATAGCTTGTTCATTGACTATGCTTTCAACGAAAGAATCACCCGTTTATCTTGGGTACATGTCGCAATATTTGTGATTGATTGAGATGGGGGTCGCCTGGTTTCACAGGTAAAAATTAATAAGAAAATGGCTGCCAAAGTTTGGTTATTTGCAAAGCCTCAGAGTCCGTGGAAACTGACAATTTCCATTTACGTGTTTCAATATGATTCACACTGAAATGGGTTCTTAAATGGACACAGAAGGTGTTGAGCCAAAATACAAAATTTTGATTAAAACTGCCAAACCGGTGGAAAAGTGTCAGTTTCTTTACATTCGTTATTTTGACAGGCGCCTGATTTCACCACGACGCCTCTCGTGTACATATTGAACAGTATCAGTCATATTGATATCAATCCTAACATGAACATCACATGTTTACTAGTGCGTTTGACATTTTATTCAGCTATCTATGGATGCATTTTTTATTGTATTATCTGTCTGCCTTTATGAGTTTGAGTGCCTGACATGCTTGTTCAATTCTTCACCACAACGTGAATCAACGATTTCAACAATGGGCAGAATACACACGACGAAGATCAAGAAAAAGATTGCAATTTAAATTGCCTTGTGTATCATGAATTGAAAATTGAAGGTTCTCAAAAATGATCTTTTCTCTCCTTAGTAATACATCATATTATGCCTAATGGAGGAAGGCGAAAATGGACATATTAAACACGGAGGAGCAAGAAAATGATAAATCATGAATTGCGTTTTGTTTTGATAGCTTCTTCCATCTCCATTCAAAGATGGTCGATTTAATATGTGGAAGAAAGTGAACATGGACATACAAATGGCGGAGTGAAGAAGAAGATTTCCCATTAACATGGCCCAGATATAATCAAAAGAGCAGACTATGAGAAATTCTAATATGGACTTAGATTCATTCTAAAAATCCATTTCCCTATCAATATTAAGGTGAGAAGTTTATCTGAGGAAAGTGAGATAGGGCAGGAAGATATAACGATGAATCTCGACTCATTAAGAAATATGGGGGGGGGGGTTGAGAAGTGGCAAACTGATATAGCAAGAAAGTGATACATTTGAACTCTGCTTCTTTAAAATGCTGTATTATTTTCATCTTAACCTGAACTGCTTAACAGAAGACGGGCAAAAATGGAAACATATTGTACAGTTCACAGAGATGAAAATCGGAACTTTACTTTTAAAAATCCTGTTTTCCTTGCATCTAAATTGGTACAGTTTAAATGGAGGAAAGCGAAACTGGACACACAAAATGCGGAGCCCAGGAAAAGACTGCACATTAACTATTAGAAAGAGAAAAGCATAAGACATTATGTGGAGTTTAGGGAAAATCTTATGTTCCGGAAAACGGTTTAACGGAGGAGAGCGAGGATGGACATATACATGAAGTATAAACAGCACTTCACAAAACTCCAATTTTCTGTCCATCCACAGGTCAATGGTTTAACGAGGGAGAGTGGGAATGGATAATATACACCTTGCGAACCCCAGGAAAAGACTGTCCGCATTAACCATAATCAAGAGAAAAGCGTACGATAAATTTAAATGTGGAGTTTGGTGAAAATCTTCTTTTCCGTCCATCTACATGTGAAGTTTTTAACGAGGGAGAGTGAGAACGAACAAACATGAAGTAAGAACCGCGCTTCCCAAAACTCCACTTGTTCACAAAACATATTTTCTGTCCCTCTTTGGGTGAACGTTTAACGAGGGAGAGAGAGAATAGCCTAATAGATGAAGTATAAACTGCACTTCAAAAAGAACTTTTTTGTCTCTCCATAGGTGAACGGTTTAACAGAGGAGAGTGAGAATGGACATATACATGAAGTGGGAACCTCGCTTCCCAAACTCCACTATTCTTTCCCTCCACAGGAGAACGGTTTAACAGAGGAGAGCGAAAACGGAAATATAAATGACGTATATTATTAAACCGCGCGTCTGTCCATCCACATGTGAACGGTTTAACGGAAGAGAGCAAGAACGGACATATAAATGACGTATATTATTAAACCGCGCTTCTGTCCTTCCACAGGTGAACGGTTTAACAGAGGAGAGCGAGAACGGCCACCTGTACTCCAACACTGGTCTGAGCGACAAGTCCTCTGTTGGATCAGCTGGCAGCCTGTCAGGTCGTCATGTCGGGGATACGCCCATCCTGGGGAAGAGAACAATCAAGTGAGTACATCTTTGATTTGTCTGCTCACTCTGAGTGATGCCATCAGGATTTTCCTGATCACTGTCGATTGCTATCTTGTTTGATTTTATTTCATCTCTTTTATGGTCGTTTGTCATCACGGCGCCACCTCAGTGCTTTCTTTTCCTATCTCCATTTATTATTGGGGGGGGTTTTCACATTGAAAATGGGACTTCCTCTTAAGCTCACTCTGTGTTATGATCTGTTTTCACTTTTATTAAATGGAGATAGGACAAGAAAGCACTCAAGTCGGGATGTTCTTCTTTGTCATTTATCTATTTTATATCCTTTCATTTTTTTTTGTCGTTTGTATAAATAAATCTTCGGCCAGCTGTTTATGTGTACTAAACCCAACATTTTGGTTTTAAAAAAAATATTTTTTCTTTAAATCTGCAGTATCGATTGCATGAGCTCAGTAAATATTTAATTGTGCCAACATTCAAATTCTAAATGCTGAGAAACAAGCAGTAACCGACACATAAAGCAGGAACATTGGATAAAAAGAAGGAAACAGCTTTTGGTTTTGAGGTTGTTGTTTTTGGGTTTGACCCTCTCAAAAAGGAAAATTTTACTTTCTGGGCTTAAAATAGTTGAACAACTTGCCGATGGTGTATTTTTATCTTTTCATCAAACGTCCACTCTATCCACAAAGAAGGTTAATCAGCTGCTTCTGTGCTGGAAAAATGTCTGATCCCAGTCTGCCAGCTGAAAAATGTGATTGTGTTGTTATTCCAGGGACGTTCACAAAACCCGTACATTAACAAAGAAGAGCTACAACAAAAGACCCAAGGCTTCTTTAATGACGTCCAATCTTTGGGGTTTTTTTCTTCTATTTCTGTCATATTCGTGTCTGTAAAACATTATCATCATTGTTCACTGTATTGATTCTTCTAATTCCTTCCAAATATAATCAAATTGTATTTCCTTTTAAATATTTCATGTTATTTATTATTTCATTTTTGTTTTTCTTTTCTTTTCTTTTCTTTTTATTGGAACGTCATCGGCCTTCCGTCTTTTGAACTTCTGATGGCGTGCGTCATTTACTCGTGCCCCC